TTGTTTCCATCTTTTTTTTTTAATAATAGAAAGCATCACATATTTATTAACAAAACATAAGAGCACCAGAGACCCCTCCAAATATGGGCCAATTATGTATTTATATATTTTATACAGATGTATTAACAGCTCAAAATATGCTGCTCAAAAATATACATTTATAAGCAAACAGTATTTTCACTGAGAAGGAAAAAAGCTAAAAAGTTCCAGACGCTTAAAGAACAATTCATAATTGATTCAGTGATTATTTAACACTAAAGTGATTTTCCTAAAACTCAAGTCTGATCATGTCATCCCCTCCCCACTCCAGTGGCTCCCTATTGCCTCCAGGAGCAAATACAAAATTCTCTGTTTGGCATTCAAACCTAGCCCCCTTCTACCTTCTCAGGCTTCTTATACCTTTCTACCTAACATGTACTCTTCGATCCAGTGACTCTGGCCTCCTGGCTGTTCCAGAACAAGACACCCCATCTCTCAGGTCTGGGCATTCTCTCCATGCCTGGAATATTTTACCTCTTACACTTTGACTACTCACTTCCCTCAGTTCCTTTAAGTCCTAACTAAAATCTGACCTCTTACAGAAGCCTACCCCAAACCCTCTTAATTCCAGTGACTTGTTAATTGCTTCCTATTTATCCTGTATATAGATTGTGTACATTTGTTTGCATGTTGTCTCTCGTTAGTTTGTAAGCTCCTTGAGGGCAGGGACTATCCTCTACCACTTTTTGTATCCCCAACACTTAGCACTCTGTGGGGTACATAGTAGGCACCCAATAACTGTTTATTGAAAATGTTTACTGAATTGAACAAGTCACCATAAAGCAATGTAATATTTACATGGCCTTTATTGATTATTACAAAAACCTTTGACTTCCTCTTAACCTGTGCTTCACAGAATCACTCTCCTGACCTTCTGCCCGAAGTATTTCTCAATCCACCAAACTGCTAATACCCTCCCATTCCAACTACTTTGTATTTAACTACTGTGTACTATTCACTTCATACTTCTAAATGTATGTTGTGTGGACTCAATGTCTCCACCACTGGCATGTCAAATCCACAAGGGTAAGAATTGTTCCATTCTTTGTATTTTCTTCTCTGGCACCTAGCACTGGCATAAATGCCTGCTGACTGATTGACTGAGCACATGGTAAACAAGTCAGACATTTACTTTTGGAGCAGAGCCCTCACTCTACAAAACAATAGTAAAGGCTGAACACCCCATTGGATTTGTCAAGTGCTGCCAAAAGTAGTTTATTTCTGGCTGGGGCCTATGATGTGGCTAAGATCAAAAAGTGGAATCTTAAGGTTTTCCATGGATAACATCCACATAGCTTCAACCAAACAGTGCGTTGACAAAGACATGAAGAACAGAGTCAGGAAGATTTGTTTCTAGAAAGAGAGGGCATTATGATAGTGACTCAGGATCAGGTCATTATTACCAGAAATTACAGAAAGGTCATCCTTAAAGATCCTGGATTCAGTGATCAATGCAAATAATGTTGGAAAGTGGCGGAACTTGGGCAGGCGGCAAAAATATGCCATCTTTTGAATATCCAGAAAGACATCAATAAGCAAATGGAATTATAGACTGGAAGCTCATTCTCCTGTGTAAACTAAGAGACAACAAATCTCTGTATTACAGTACAGCTACAGACCCCCTAAAAAGATCCTTGTGAAGTCAGCAAATAGATCAGAATGATGCTCAGATATCAGAGCATCATTAGAGGCTGAATTATACCCTCCAACTATTCAGACATAACATTGAGCCATAAAAATTTAAGAGCAACATTTTTAGTATATGCATTTATATCTAATACTCCTCATCTCCAAAGTATTTGGAAAGAAATCTAAGTTTCTCTCTTTGGCTTGTAAAGACCTTCACAACCTGGCCCTACCCTTCTTTATTATACATTACAATCCTTCATGTACTTTATGGTTTTGCCAAGCCAGCCTTCTTACTGTTCTTCACACATAATAACCCATCTCCTGCCTTGATCCTGTGCACTGGCAACCCCCCCATTCTTGGGAGGCATCTGTTCCTCATCTCCACCTCTTCATATATCTTGTTTTCTCTTTAAACCTCTATTCGAGCACCATGCTCTTTTACATGAAGATTTTCTCAATACCTTAGTCAACTAGCACCCTCTTCCCCCTCAATTTATTTTTCACATGGTTTCAGTATGTTGTACTGACTTAGATATGTGTTGTGACCTCTGAGAGAATGTAGGTTCTTTGAGGACATTAAATGTTTCAGTTTAGTCTTTGTATTTTCAGCACCAAGCATAGTGTCTGACACATAGCTGGTACTTAATACTTTATCGGCCGAGTGACTAATTGAATGAAAAGCTTTCAGAGTAGAGAGACCTGACAGAAGAACTTAAATCCACATGGTAACAGGACAAAATACATGATATCTGCTATTGGAGTTATCCTGAAGACATTTTTGATGACTCTATAGACGATGAGCTCACTTCCCAGTGAGTTTATAGAAGGTGAGCTTACTTCCCAGTATTCTTACTCAATTGCAAGAAAGAAAAACAAAAAGCAAAAACCATAGGCATTTTATCCACCTGTGCAACTCTCCATAGAATGTTAACTATGCAATAATAATAGCAGGAAAGTGACTTGTCAAAATAACTTGTGTTCACATATAGCATTTCATTATCTATCTATCTATCTATATATATATATATTTTTTTACAATCAATCAATCAACATTTATTAAGCATCTCCCCTGTGTCAGGTACTGTGCTAAGTGCTGGGAATAGAGGCAAAAGATAGTTATATAAGTTAGGTGGGAGTATCATTATCTCCATTTTACAGATGAGGAAACTAAGCCTTGAAGAGGCTCAATTAAAACGACTTGTCCACGGTCATAGAGATAGCAACTGTTATAGCTGAGTTTGGACCCAAGTCTTTTTACTCCAGACCCCACTGTTCTTTCCACTAGATCATGCTGTTTATGGACATAATTACAAACATTCAGTCCACATGAAAAAAGACTACATACTTTACGTCTATGATGGTTGGGATTTATTTTGACATGTGCACATAAATATAGTGTGCTCTCTCCTGATCTCTCACAGTCTTTGTTCTTTAATCTATTTTCTGTGTAGTAGGCTAAGGATTTGTAAGATCAAAGGCCTTGTTAAAATGGAACTGGCGAAGCCTGCATCTTCCCTTCAGAGCTGAAGGGGGGGGGGGGAGAAATCTTTTCCCAAGTGCTATTTAACAATATCTCATTTTTATTCTCTCTTATATAAGATGGAGACAAAAATATTTCAAATCATAGAATCCAAGAGTTGAAGGGACCTTGGCATCAGTCCTAGTTCAGCTCAAATGACCCAGTGGGATAATATTTATAAAGGGATTAGTGCTTAATAAGTGCTTATTCCCTCCCCCGTTCTTTGACAGTCCCATTAGACTGTAAGTTCCTTGAGGACAAGACTGTCTTACTGTCTTTTGCTTTTCTTTCTTTCCCTAGCACTTGGAACAGGCTTGGTGCCTGGAATACAGTAGGTGCTAATAAATGCTTATTGACTGACTGAAATCCCATCTGAAACAGGAATCTCCTCTACAACATGCCTGGAACTGGTCACCCAATCTCTGCTTTGAGACCCTCTAGTTGGGAAAATTTGCTGTCTTCTGAAGTAGCAAACTCCAGTTTTGGACATTTCAACAGGAAGCATTTCCCTACATTGAGTCAAAATCTGCCTCCTGGTAACTTCTACCCATTGTAGACAAGAGAGCCCTTCAAATACTCAAAGACAGGCTTTTCTTCTTCAACCATTACTTCAGCTGATTCTCATACATCATGAGCTAGATATGCTTCACCATCAGCTTTATCTCTCACATGCATGGTATATAGCATGTTGTCTCCCCTGACAGAATGAAAACTCCCAGAGGGCAGAGGCTGTCTCACTTTGGTCCCTAGCACCTAGCCCAGTGTCTGGCACACAGCGTTGATCAACTGATCTGTGTATATGCCCTTAGCACCTTGCAATTCAATTCAATTTAATTCAATTAGCAGTATTAATTATTAAACATCTACTAGGCAAGGCCCTGTGTTAGGTGCTGGGGGTACAAAAAAAAAAGGGGAGCTTACATTCTATTAGGGGACACAAGAAGTAGAAAGATAAACAAATGTCAGACAATTTTTGGAGAGAGAGAATACTAAAAACTAGGGGGATGAGGATAGGCTTTGAAGGAAGTTGGATCCTAAGAGATGGAAGTTAAGAGGGAAATGTCCTTGACTCAACTCCTCACTCATGGCTTAGGGTTCCAGGGATGTAAGCCAACTTCTATGAAGACACAGGTGGGAGATGATAGTGTAAAATTTAAGAAATACCTGATATTCTAGTTCAGCTGGAATTGTGTGAAGGGAAGTAATAGGATGTAAATCTGAAAAGTATGGTGGGAGCAAGATTACAGATTTTAAACATCAGGATAAGGGTATATTCTATCCTACTGCCAATAGCAAGCCAGTAAAGATCCCTGAGAGGGAAAATGACATAGTCAGAGCTCTGCTTTAGGAAGATTACTTTGTCAGCACTGTGGAGGTTGAATTGGAGAGGGATGGGAGAGACTAGAAGCAAGAAGACTAATGCAGTAGTAAGTGCTCAATAATTATCTGTCGAGTCCATCAAACACTCAACAAGCATCTATTAAGTTCCTACTATGCGCTAAGCACTAGGAAGACAAAGGCAGAAATTAAACAGTTGCTGCCCTCTGCATGAAAGAAATAAAAGGTAGTTTTGGAAGAATCAGGATTTGGAGAGCGAGAAAGGCTTCATGTAGAAGGTGACACTTGAGTTGACTCTCAAGAGGTGGAGTTGAGAAGGAAGCAGGCATTCCAGGTAAGGGGGGCTGGTGGTGACCTTGGTATAAAGCCATGGTTGATTGATTAAATGATTGTCCAGGAACAGAATCCACTTGTCAGGTAACCCACTAGACCTGTCTAGACCACCAAGGGATAAATATGGGAGGCCACTCTGTACCTTCATCATGGTTTTGGTGCAACATGACCTCTGGCTGTGTTTGAATAGAGTTTCCTGGGTGAAAGAATGGTGAGAAGAGAATTCGCGGCTTCCTTTGCTTCAGAATATGCTGAAGAAGTTCATAGAGCACATCACCTGAAATGAAAAAGAAAGAAATTGGTGGGGGGAAAGACGAAAGGGGAGAGGGTCATGGGATTATCCCGGCCAGGCTCTGGCTGTCACGACTTCCAAGGACCCTGATCCATATTTTTCTGGGTAGAAAGCTGTTGGCAGAGAAAAATCTGCTCCCTGCAAGCTTTGTCAAGAGGTGGGAGAAAGGTACAAGTCAGTTCAGAGCTATTACTTTGGAAGTTATTTTTCAATGGCCTCAGATTTTAGTTTGCTTTCTTTCTTTAATACACACTGGCATCTGTCCAAGGTTTCAATATTCCTTGACAAGCACCCTCGGAGGTCAGCCACTTCTCTCAAATGTGGAGGGGTTGACCTTTGTTTTGGAAGGGAGACAGTCCTGATCTATCTGGCATTTTAAATGCCTACCCAGTGCTAAATTAGAAAAAAAAAATGCCATGAGACTTGTCACACTCCTTTGGCCTACAACCAAACCCAAAATGCAGGTGGGTGTCTTAAAACCCTTCAGGGGCGGGGTGATTAATCTTTAAAATACCAAAGTCCTCTGACTAGCCCCCTCACACCCTTCTCCCCAACACAGATAAGCGGCCAACAACAGTACTAAACAATAGGGCTTTGTCTCTAATTTTAACTATTTTTAACATATACTTTAATTACCAACCTAATTTAGCTGCATATGGTGGGTGGGCTGTAGTTAGTTATATTTTTCCCCAAACAGCATGAAACTGAGAAACACTCTATATTAATTTCTTCCCACAGCAAATCTCCACTCTTTCACCTTTTGATCAGACCCCAAACTTTGTTTTAAGTCAGAGGGAGCTCTGTGTCTTTACTTTGACTTTGTTCCTCTCACCGTCTCTGTATTTTGATTGTTATTAATGTGTGTGACTGTTGCTAGAGGAAGCTAAGGACTGAAAGATGCCACAGTCATGATACCTGGATGCTTTCCATGATTTCAGTAAAACAAGTTAGGAGAATAAGAGAAATATACTTTGCGGAGGGATTCAGGCCCAGTTCTTTAATTACAATGCGTATATTTATATAAATAAGAGAGAACACAGTATATAGGGAGCTCACTTTGGGGTCAATGAGACTAGGGTTCAATTCTCACCTCTGACACAAACTTACTGTGTAACCAAGGACAAGTCACTTAACCTCTCAGTATCCCAGGCAATGTGTTGCTGAGACCTTACGGATCCTCTAGTTAACTCCAGTAACAACAACAACAGCTGGTATCTACACAGAAGTTAGGTTTACAAATGCTTTGTGAATAATGCCATCTAACTTAATAGCAGTCAGAGCAATGATGAGGCAAAAAATAGCCCAATGGACTACTGAATGGACCTAGTTTTAGATTTTTTTTTTTACTAAAATAATCATTTGCCTACTGCTTTATTTCTTTTTGGCCTGACTTAATTTCTTTCTGGCTCTTGAATGACTGACAGCATCATGCTTGTATTTATAGGTTACATTTCTGCTTTATTTTGGTGGTTTTCAGGATAAAAATAGCCAACAAACTTTAAAAAAAAATTTATATTCATTAAAATGAATAATTATTACTAAAGAATGATTTCCAACTAGGGGATTCATTCCAGAAGGCTGAGGCAGGGAACATAACTGTGCTACTTTTAAGAAGTGCTCAGCTTCTCCAGTAATTAGAGAAGCAAGCCTGCTGTCATCTCTAAAAGAGAAAAAAGGGGATACTGAGGCTTGATTTTCAAACCTATGGGTCAAGTCTAGATGTGAAATATGAGGAAAGCTTATATAGGTGAGAAAGGGAAGCATTACCTTTATAGACACCACTTCTTTCTTCCTTCCCCTATCCCCATGTTACCCCCCCCCACATGCATGCATTCATACACACATACTCATGTATATATACAAATACACAAGGCAAAAGAGCATATATGGATACACACACACACACACACAGCATGGTAAAGGGGAAAGATCACTGAATTTGGAGTCAAAGGACCCGGGTTCAAATCTAATTTCTGCCACTTTATACGTATGTAACTTTTGCAAATCACTTAAGCTTTGGGGTCTCAGTTTCCTCATCTATAAAATAAGGAGGTTAGATTAAATGACCTTTAAGGTGTCTTCCAGCACTACGTCTATGATCTTATTTTTTACAATGATATTGATTGCACTGAAAATGTTACAGTTTTTTGTTCCTTAGGGCCCATCTTTCCGGCTTAGTGGACGTAGCCTGCATAAGGCCAATAGGGTACAATACTGACATGCATTCTCCTGGTAGTTCTGACACTTTTCTTTGATGGTACTTTTCTACCCTTTCATTTTTCTATATAGTACTTTTTTATACTCTCTACACCGTTCTTTCAGGCAGGCCTAGAGAAATGTTGAACTGCTTAGGCTAGGGGCTAAAACAGTGAACGTGGAAGCCAAGTGGAGGAGGCTCCTTTCCCTTCTCCAGTTAGGGAAACTGATTAATGGCATCACAGGTGAGCACCATGCTGCACACACACAATCTACCTTTTACCTAACTCTTATATATTCATATCACAGGGGTTAATGAATTATTAAACTGGAGTAAGGCAGTAACGAACCTGTGGACATAGGAGGGAGCCCTACATTGGCTAGATAGTTATATACACATTTATAAAAATAAACAAAAAACCTCCTTAATTCTAAGAATGAATCCAAAGTTGGGTCATGTCATGCAGAATCAGGACTATGTGGGCTTAAATCCCAACTCAGATACTTGTTAGATGTGACATTTGGCAAATTATTTAATCCCTCTGTGCCTCAGTTCCCACGTCTATAAATTAAAGGAGGGTTGGACTTCAGGACCCCTAAGGTTTTTTCCACCTCTAAGTCTATGATCTCATAAATCTGTACCACTCTCCAAAAGGAGGACCAAGCAGAAGGATGGGTCTAGTAAAGCACAAACTGAGCACTACTGGAGAAAGAACTCCTGTTGTACGTCCTACCTGTGTACCGTCAATAGCAGCATCTCAGCGTGGAAGGTCCCTGAGAGTCATTAATAAAGTTATGATCTAATGTAGGAATCTCCTCCCAACACCAAAGAATTATAGAATGTCAGGGTAGAAGATGCTTCAGGTCATCTCTGTATAGCCCCTACCTGAATAAAAATCACCTCTACAAAACATCCGGTTTCTGTTTGAAACCTTCCGTAAGTAACTCTTGAAGCAGCTCAATCCACAATGGAACATCTCTAACCACTAGGCAGTGTTTTTCTTCTGTCAAATCAAAATCTACTATTCTTGGTTTTGCCTTCTGGGGACAAGCAGAGCACGTCTGATCTTTCTTCAATCTAATGCTCTTAAAATAACCTGAAGACAGCACTCATTTCTCTTATGACCCCCAGTCTACTTCAAACACTCATGAACGGGTGGGACAGGAGTCACATGACACACTTTACCACCATTTAAAATTATCAATACCTCCAAGATGCTGAATTCAGAAACTCTGCAATTGGACCCCAATCTTCCGTCTTTCCATCCTTCCAACTCACTGTCATCTTGGGTGCATTTGGTGTCCCAGGCTTTCTAATCTATCTTCACACTCTTTCCCTCGGTGATTCCTTTCCAGTCTAATGATTCTAATTTCCCCTTTCATACTGATGATTCCCAAATCTATACTGCCACTCTCAGCTTTCCACCTTACCCCACCTCAGCTCCAGTCCCATATTTACAAACGTCTGCTGGATAGTTCCATCTGGCTATCTATTCAAGCTAAACAAATCCACAGCTGCACTGATCTTTGTTCTGTAAGCCTGCCCCTTCAAAATACATTTTTTATTTCTGTTATTAGTACCATGATCTTACTATGGTTCCCAAGATTACAAAATCTGCATAATCTTTTGACCCTTTCCTCTCCCTTATTTCACAAGTCCCATTAGTTGCTGAATTCTTCCCTTCTACTTCTGCAATAAATCTCACATCCAATACTTACTTACGCTCTACTTACTTACTCTCTATTCTCACTATGAACACCCTAGTTCAGGTACCCATCCTCTTACGAAAACCTCCAAAGTGGTGTTGCTGACTTGATTCTATACTCTTCCCAATTCAAACTCCCCAACACTGACTAACATAAAACTATGTCTAGATCTCTCCTATCCTTATACCACTGCTATCTATGTATTTGTTTCTTCCTCAATTATAATGTAAAATTCTATGATCTATGGTAGATCCTTCTTTGGATTCTAGACAAAGCAAGTGAGAGCACTGAACTTTTAGCTAAGTGTAGAGTGCATTGATTTTCATTTTTAAATAAAAAATACCTCCTACAAGTCTTCCCTTCTCTAGGAGAAACATCCCTTTAGCCTTTCATTGATCCTTACAGAGCATGGTGGTCAGGCCTCTCACCATCCTAGCCATGCCCCAATTTGTCAATGGCCTCCCTAAAACAGGATGCGCCAAACTGAAGGCATGGCTAATCATATCCCAGAGTATAGTGGGTCTATCATAACCTCCAGGTACTGTGCTTTTCTTTCTTTCTTTCTTTCTTTTTTTTTGGGGGGTGAAGCAACTGGACTTGCCCAGAGTCACACTGCTAGTAAATGTTATATGTCTGAGACCAGATCTGAACTCAGGTCCTCCTGATTCCAGAGCCAGTGCTCTACCCACTGCACCACGCAGCTGCCCCCTGTACTTTTCTTAATGTAAGCTTCATTTGCTGTTTTTGGCTGCCACGTTACACTGCTGACTCATACTGAGTTTGCAGTCCACTAACCTATCCAGATCTTTTAAAATATAAACTGTCATCTAATTACACCTCCCCCTCAACTCGTGAAGTTGGTTTAATGAATCCAAGTGTAGGAGTTTATATTTATCCCTATTATATCCCATCTTATAAGATCTGGTCCATTGTCCCAGAATCTAGATTAACTGAGATTATCAGGATCCTAATAAACTTTTGTATTACCTTCAAGTTGAATTAGCATGCCATTTATACCTGCCTTTAGGTTATTAATAAAAATGTTGAACAAGAAACAGCCAAGAAAAGCTCCCTGGGGGCAC